CACACACACAGACACACACAACCTCCATGATTCCTCACACTCACACAGATTATAAAGAGTCCGTTACAGGATCGCTGAGTCCCAGACGGTGTGTGAGTCTCCGGGGCCTTTTGGGGGTGGAGCCAGAGCCTCCAGGGGGCGGGGCCAAATGACACAGGGGGCGTGGCCAAAGGGTCAGGGGTGCTGCGCGGCCAGCTCCTGGCCGATGAAGCGGCGCAGGCGCTCCAGGTACTGGCTGTAGAGTTCGATGTCGTTATGCCCCGCCCCCTCCACCCACAGCGGCTCCACGGCCTTGGGGCAGCGCTCGAACAGCGCCAGGCCGTGGGAGAAGTCGATCACCTCGTCCTCCGTCCCGTGGATGATGAGCACCGGGGAGGGGATCTTCGACACCTTCTCAATGCTGGGAAAAGACGGAAACGCCATCATAAGAAGGAAAAACAACACAACAAATACACAAAAACAATACACATATAGGACCAGAATTTGGAGTTGCTTTAATCCTCTAAGAGGCTCGTCCCGATCCCAGATCTGGATATTTTCCAGATCGAGACTCCAGATCCAGTTTATTTTAACCCTGTAATGCTAAATGTATCATATTTGATTCATACGGTTTCTTAAATGTTTTGCGTCTGACACCTTTTGCATAATTTAATGGTAAAAACTTTGCTCAAAATCCTATTTTACACAATCAGATATACCTGATAACAGGGGGCAGAAGAGTACACAAAAAATAATCTTATCGACTTATCGCATAGTAATAAATTATTAATAATAAAAATATATTTCCGTTTTTCCTTTTTACATATTTTGTTAAAAGGCCAAATAAGGAATTCAAACAAAAATAAGTAATTTTTTGTTTTGTTTTTTTCTTGGATCAGGCTTTAAAGGGTTAAAAGTCCGATCCCGCATTAGCATTAGCATTAGCATCTGTAACCCACAGGTCTGTGTCCTAACCATTAAGTTCGGATTGGAAGTAAAAAAAGCTGGATCTGGACATCCCTACCCTGTAACACCAAATTTAATGCACTGTTATATTTTCTGAACTGTTTTGCCTCATTTAAATGGTACAAACATCTCCAAACCCTGTTGGACACAGTCAGATTGAGCTGACATGCATTTTGATTTATTGCATGGTAATAAATGATGAAAAACATTTTTCTGGGATGAGGCTTTAAAGGGTTAATAAATCTGTTGGGTGTTTCATATCAGACGTTCAGAGTCCAGACTTTGATAACTGAAGATTATTAAATGAAGCTTGAATGAATCTGGTTGTTTCCTTCATCTCACAGCTGCTGCAGAATATGATGAATAAAACATGGATCCAACTCAAAGAAACAACCAATAATAAACCTGGATGCTTCAAAGATGTCAAAACTTCTTATGCCAAGTCTCCTCTTTTGTTCTGGAGCTATCAGCCTTTTATAAAAACACGTGTTTATGGTTAAGTTCTGACCGAATGGTGGTCAGAGACTCGGGACTGTTTCTGCCCAAGAAATGACAAAGTAGGACACTTAAAATCTCAGGACACATCTATTGTTGGAGTGTGAAGGGAGTAAAAACACACCAACCAAAGAGGAAACCTGTCTCACATTTAGATCAACTCAGGAAATCAAAGGCAGCCAAACCAAGATTTCTAAGAAATGCCAGTTTTCCAAAAGCCCTGAAACATACAGAGACTTCCAGGAAGTGGTGATTAAAGATGTATAAAGTACTGGAGTAGAGGAGTAGGAGTACAAGTACTGTATAAAAAAATTTACTTGAGTAAAAGTAGAAGTGTTCTTTCAACTCCATACTTAAGTGGAATTACGGAAGTACTACATTTTTTTGTACTCAAGTATTGCAAGTAGAAGTATTTAAAAAATTGCTACTCAAGTATTGAAAGTACAAGTATAAGTAAAAGTACAAGTACTGTATATATTAAAAAAGGCAGTCAAAAATTTGATAAGATATTGTGTATATTATTTCAAACGTGTGAAAGGCCATACAGGTGTTTACAAAAAACTATCCAATATTGAATACTTTATTGATCTCCAAGGAGAAATTAAAATTAGCAATCAACAGCATTTCTTCTACTATTATTTATTATTCCAGAGTCAGAATCCTGAGCTGACCCTTTATGCTAGCACGTAGCATACAGCTAGCAGCTAGGTTAGCTTTAGCTAATTTTAGCTGAACTAGCGCTTACTTTCTAGCTTATATGTCATTGTATTTTTTAACTTACCTTGATAGGCTTCTTCAGATTAGATGGGGAATTTTTGAAGGCCATGATTTCTATATCTTTCAGGAGGCTTTTTTTTTTTTACAGGCTGTTTGATGGCTCAAATCGGCCAATGAGGAGCCAGCTTCCCAAACCCTGACAGAGCTATCTACAGCTCTGGCTCTGACTCTATGACTGGGGATGATTCATTACGTTTACATATCAGTAACGATTCAGCCCGTGAAAGTAAAAGTAAAAGTATTAAATTAATCAAAAATATGCAGTGGAGTAAAAGTAAAAGTAGGAAAAAAATTCATACTCCAATAAAGTACAGATACTGAATGTTGGTACTTAAGTACAGTACATATACAGTGGGGGAAATAAGTATTTGAGCCCTTGCTGATTTTGCAGGTTTGCCCACTTACAAAGAATGCTTATTTTTCCTCATCAGATGGTTATCAATTTTCATAAATTCATATGATGTGATTTTCTGGAATTTTCTTTGGGATTCTGTCTTTCACTGTTAGAATGTACATATGATTAAAGTTATAGATCGTTGCATTCTTTGTAAGTGGGCAAACCTGCAAAATCAGCAAGGGCTCAAATGCTTATTTCCCCCCCCCGGTGGTGAGCGGACACTTACTTGGGGAAAGCATCAAAGCAGTAGGTCTTCTTGGTCTCGGGGAAAGCCACACGCATCCCGGACGTTAGCGGAGAGTGCAGAACCACGGCGGCGCACTCGTAGCGGGAGGCCAGGTCCACGGTGGGAACGGTGCCGATGCTCTGCCCGTACAGGATGATGTTCTCCGGGCAGATGCCGTACCTGCCCACACACAGCCAATCAGGACGGAGAGGGTTAACGTTCATCCACAGATGACTGATTCAAAGTTTAGCTACGCTCAGAAATTCTCAGTAATTCAGGAGAAAATGCAGATCCAGACTCCAGATCCAGTCCGATCCCACACGAGCATTAGCATTAGCATTAGCATCTGTAACCCACAGGTGTGTGTCCTAACCATTAAGTTGTTATCAGAGTAAATCCCTGTTCAACATGAGTCTGACAACTCAGTAAGTACATAAATAACACAACAAATACACAAAAACAACACACATAGGACCAGAATTTAGAGTCCCTTTAATACTCTAATAGGCTCGTCCAAATCCCATATCTGGATATTTTGCAGATCCAGACTCCAGATCGAGTTTTTTTTTAAAAGTCTGATCCCACATTAGCATCTCCTAACCCACAGGTCTGTGTCCTAACCGTTAAGTTGTTATCAGAGTAAATTCCTGTTCAACATGAGTCTGACAACTAAGTAAGTAGAATAAATAACTTTAAACTTTAACACAGGCTCTGAGCAGCAATCTTTTAAAAGATTGAGGCGAGACTTGACACGGGATCGGTACAGTTGTCATTTTTATGTCATCTTGTTGACCCTAATGTACAGTTATTTACACAGTGACACGGGAAGAGAGAGTTTTAAAAAAATGGCAAGATTTTGCAGGTGCTACTACAGGTTCTCCACTCTGATTCCCCACAAGGAACAGAGTCCTTTTTGCAGACATAACGGCTGGTCATATGGTCTTGTTGTCTTTCTCTCTCCTTTCTTTCTTTTTTCTTAATTTTTTTCTCTCCCCCCTCTCTCCCTTTCTAAAGGATCTCTCTCCTTTCCACTGCTCTTCCCTCCCCCCTGTCCCTCTGTCAGGTTCGGCATTATTGGACATATGGAAGTTTGGTAACAAAAAATGAATAAATAAAGAAGTTTTGGGTAATCAAGGGGGGGTTTTCTCACTAACAAAGCCTCCCTTGGCAAAGCTATTTTGCTCAGCATAGCACGGTACGCAGATTTAAGTTCTACTACAATAATGCTGAACAGGACAAGGTAAAAAAATAAAAAATAAAAAAAGGCAAGATTTGATTGGGGGGGGGGGTCCTACCGCGTGCGCAGGGCGTGCCAGGCGGCGTCTATATCCGCGTACAGGTTTTTCTCGGTGGGCTTCCCGGTGCTGACCCCGTAGCCCGAGTAGTCGTAGGAGAAGATGTTGCAGTTGATGCGGGTGCCCAGGCCGATGTAGAAGCTGCTCATCTGGCCCAAGTCCACCGCGTTCCCGTGGGAAAAGAGCACCGTAAACCTGCCGAAATACAAAACCAGGACCAGACCTCTGAGAACGGACATCAGAGCTCCAGCTCCAGCCATCACAGACTTTAAAGGAGACATATTATACCCTATTTCAACAAGTTAAGCTAGTTCCCTGGTGTCCTAATGTAATGTCTGTGACAAGCTTTGGTCAAAATCCCATAAGGATGAAGCCCAATAGCAGTTCAGTCCCCCTGCCTAACCCTAACCCTAACCCTAACCCAAACCCTAACCCAAAACGGCCCCGTTCAGAGCGCTCGCTTTGGAGTGCCTGTCTCTTTAAATGAACACACAGAAGGAAACTCCCACATGCAGACAGACTTTAAAAGGCAGATTTTTAATGAAACCTCCCAAATAAAAAGCCTGAAAGGTAGGGTTGTCACGATACTAAAATTTCAACTGGATAGCGATACTCAGGAAAATACTCAATACCATTTTCGATACCATAAGGATAAAAACAAAGACCCAAAATTTAACTGAATTTTGACAGGTTAGTGTCTTTGGTTTCAAACTGACCTGTTACTGATGTTATGGTGGCCCACATTAATGACCCTAACCCTAACCCTGACCCTAACCCTAACCCTAACCCTAACCCTAACCCTGACCCTGACCCTAACCCTGACCCTGACCCTCCAGCCTACATAATTGTGAGAAATGAATATTTTTTGGTTAAACTTGCTTGTACTTTTTGTACAAACCTATTTAACATCCACTATTTTAACATAATATTATGGATAAAGTTTAATTCAGTGTTTGCAAGATTCATTTCACTATTTTTAAATTAATGTCTATATTGCCATGAAGCAATTAGGATTTTCTTGCCTGGGATCTTCCTATTGGTGACCTAATCAAAATGGCCGACTTGGATGTGGGCGGAGTTGGATATCCATCCTTGGCTTCCTGCAGACTTGATTAATGTTGGCGTGTTATTATTAGCCATTAGCCGCAGCTAGCAATTCAAGGCTAACGTCATATAATGATCATAAACAACGTAGATAAATAAATCAGAGAGATGGAGCTGTATCTATACTTTTGAAAATGAGTATCGTATCCTGATACAACATTTTATTATCGATACTTTTTTGAGTATCGATACTTTTGACAACCCTACTGACAGGTATCAAACTTAATCTGTGTCTCTACAGGGGACAAGGATCATTCAGCTGAGATAAACAGCAGCAGACCACTTGGACTCTGAGCTCATTTGTCTTTATCTAAAACTGCTGCTTGTTGGTGGATAAGTTGACCACGATGGACTCCAGCCAAGGAACAGTTGCTTCTGGCCATTCTGAAAAAAACCTGAGAAGCAAAGTATCCACTTCAAATTCTGGGTATTTGGCCTCTGCTTTGATTCGTGAATGCTCTGCTCCACTTCTCAGTGGAAGCTGATACTTTAAAGGCTTCTTAAATTGTCCTTCGGAGGTTTTGTTCTGGTGTTTCTGCGGCCTGCAGCTCCACTCCAGACAACAAGGCCTGTCGTTTCATATCCATACTTCATCCTTTGTAATTGGAGACGGACACCGATCCGGGGAACACGGACCGTAATATAAACCTGTGTATTCCTTCACAGCTGAGTAGGTGAGTTAATCAGCAACACCAGAGATCTGTTAAGGTTTAAGGCCCAAATAAAACATTCAGCCTCTGACTCATATCTGGGAGTTTTGTTAGTTCCTTGTTTCCTAAGAAGAAGTTTTTTCATTTGCACCCAAAACATGCAAACACAGAGATGGAAAAGCAGGAAGAGAAATCTTTGAGTGGGAAACAAGTAAAGGGAGGAGGTCTAGATTATTTATTTATGTATTTCTTTACGTTGTTTATAATCATTAAAAAGACGTTAGCCTTGAATTGCTAGCTGCGGCTAATGGCTAATAATAAAATGCTACCATTAATCAAGTACATATCCAACTCCGCCCAGATCCAAGTCGGCCATTTTGATTAGGTCACCAATAGGAAGATTCCAGGCAACAAAATCGTAATTGCCTCATGGCAATATAGACATTAATTTAAAAATAGTGAAATTAATCTTCCAAACACTTAATTAAACTCTATCCATAATATATGTTAAAATAGTGGATGTTAAATAGGTTTGTACAATAAGTCCAAACAAGTTTAACCAAAAAATATTTATTTCTCACAATTATGAAGGGTTAGGGTTAGGGTCAGGGTTATGGTCAGGGTTAGGGTCAGGGTTAGGGTCATTAATGTGGGTTAGGGTTAGGGTCAGGGTTAGGGTCATTAATGTGGGTTAGGGTTAGGCTCAGGGTTTTGTTTAGGGTTAGGGTTAGGTTTAGGGTCAGGGTTAGGGTTAGGGTCATTAATGTGGGCCACCATAACATCAGTAACAGGTCAGTTTGAAATGAAAGACACTAACCTGTCAAAATTCAGTCAAATTTGGGGTCTTTGTTTTTATCCTTGAGGTATCAAAAATGGTATTGAGTATTGAGTATTTTCCTGAGTATCGGTATCTAGTCGAAAATTTTAGTATCGTGACGACCCTGGTCAGCAAGGAAACAAGTAAAGGAAGAAGGAAGGAGGTCTAATATGTTTGTCAGAGAAGCTGAGGCGAGTCCAGACGTGAGCACATTACCCCTGTGCTGTCGTCACTCCACTGGCTTCCAGTTCGTTTTAGAACCGATTTTAAACTCCTGCTGTTTGTTTTTAACGCCATTTATGGCTGGGCCCCTTCTTACTTGTCTGAGATTTTAACTTTTCGCAGTTGTGACAGAGCCTTGCGGTCCTCGGGTCAGCTTCTGTTAGACGTCCCCAGGTCAAGACTCAAACTGTGGGGCGATCGTTCTTTTCTCCCAGACTGTGGAACAAACTACCCCCTGACATCCGCACCACTACTGACCTCAGCCTTTTTTAAAAAAAAAAAAGCTTAAGACCCACTTTTTTAAATTAGCATCCAATTCGGACTAGGGTCTCTTAGGTTTCCTCCTTCTGTCTGCTCCTTTCTACGCACTTCTGGAAGGCTTTTAATGCCCTGCACCACTACAGCATTTTTAGTTGTTTCTGTAGGTTTTGTATGTTTTTTGTATTGTTTTATGGCTTTGTTGTAAAGCACTTGGAGTACCATTTGGGTATTGTAAAGGGCTATACAAATAAACTTGATTGATTGATTGATTGATTGAGTAAGAGGGAGGTGAGTCAATGCCCTGAAAATAGTGAGAGAGGTCGGGAACGCCGTCGGGAACGTCGTGGGAAAACTACGCCCGCCTTTTGCCAGAATCACTGTATTAGTTAAATCTTTGGGAATTCTGCGGTAGCACTCACCGGGAGCTGGGGGCGCAGCGGATGTACATGCACCCCACCCGGTTCCCCCTGCTGGAGCGGGTGAGGAACACCTCCATGGTGTCCAGCTCCCTCTGGGAATACTGGAACTCCGCCCTCTCCGTCAGGTGCAGCTTCCACCTTCCCTCCACCGCCCCTCCTCCTCCCCCTCCTCCTCCGGACACCGAGGCCCCGCTGCGCCCCCGGTGGCCGGACGCGGCCGGTGCGCCCCCCCCCCCGGGGGGTCTCGGGGTCGGGCAGGTAGGCGTAGGTGGGCTCCGGGGGCAGGAAGGCCAACTTTGCGGCGATTCGGCTGGGGCAGGGGGGGCAGCAGAACAGGCAGCAGAGCTCGCTGAGAGAGAGGCCATTCATCCTTCACTGTGGAAGAACGAGCATAACACATTCATCCTTCACTGTGGAAGAACGAGCATAACACATTCATCCTTCACTGTGGAAGAACGAGCATAACACATTCATCCTTCACTGTGGAAGAACGAGCATAACACATTCATCCTTCACTGTGGAGGAACGAGCATAACACATAACACATTCATCCTTCACTGTGGAAGAACGAGCATAACACATTCATCCTTCACTGTGGAAGAACGAGCATAACACATTCATCCTTCACTGTGGAAGAAGGAGCATAACACATTCATCCTTCACTGTGGAAGAACGAGCATAACACATTCATCCTTCACTGTGGAAGAACGAGCACAATATGGTCAGTGTGCACGAGTCCACGCCACCGACTTCACAATGAGAGCCTTATCACCATCTAAACCAGTGTTTTTCAACCTTTTTTGAGCCATGGGAAAAAATCCCGAGGCACACCACCAATCAAAAATGTCAAACAAATCTGTAGCCGCCTATAGTGACACTATAGTTATTCTTATCTTTTTATTTATTTTTTTATTTAATCAGAAAGTGCACATTAATGAACAATCTCATACAGATTGTAAATGAGCCAGATTATAGCATAGTTGCTAGTTTACATCTGTCGTCCTGAGGCAGGAAGATCAAACAACACAAAATCCCAAAATACAAAATCAGTCCAAACACACGTTCAGACAATGGCATTAGAAAATTAAAATTAATTAAATTAAATTCAATTTAATTTCTATAGCGCCACATCACAACAACAGTTGTCTCACAGCGCTTTCCAATCAGAGCAGGTCAGACCCTACTCTGAAGTTAACTACAGAAACCCAACAATTCCCACCATGAGCAAGCACTAGGCGACACAGGGAGGGAAAAACTTCCTTTTAACAGGCAGAAACCTCGAGCAGAACCATGGCTCTTGTGTCTTGAATAGGAATCAAATAAACACAAACATGTATTTTATCACATTTTATATTTCTTCTTTCAAATTGCTCTTAACATGTTCACTTCAATATACAAAATTATATACAAAATCTAGTCATATGGAATTATTACATGATTACGCCACCAGTCACTAGAACAGCACAGACACATTAAAAATTATTTGCAGATAATTAATTCCTTATCAAAAAATGTTTTTAGACCAATTAGGTGAAATAGGATGATTTTCTACGGCACACCTGACCATCACTCGCTGCACACTAGTGTACCGAGGCACAGTGGTTGAAAAACACTGGTCTAATGTACGGGCACAATGATGATAAGGGCAGGAAAAGAAACGGACCATGCTCTGAGAAAAACACAAGTCCAGAAAAACATCCCAAATAGTTTTGAACACGAGCTAAAATATGTGTAAAGGGAAAAAATAAGACTATAAAACATAGAATAAGACAGCCCAGATCTCACATGGGTTCAGTTATCTTACAACTTTGGCTGCGTTCATTTAAAGAGGATTAAGTGTTACAAGAAAAGCTTAATAATCTGAGTCTGAAAACCTTGAAAGCAAAGTCTGAGGAGCAATAGATTCTGTCACATTTCAAAAAGTCTCCTATTGCCTCATGATTTTATACTAAAAAAAGAATAAAAACACCACAAACTGATGCTGGAGCAGCTGGAACTGGAGCTTAAAAAGCCACCAGGCTACAAAAAAGGCGTTTTCATCCCAAATTCTGTACATTATAATTAAATTCTTGTAACCAGGATGCAAAAAAAAAGCACAGAGTGAATCTAAACTTAAGCACCTAAGCAAACATAAGCGGCCTTACATCATCACACAAAGCCTAAAACAGACAGCAGACTTACCTGTTGAGCTGAGGATCCGCCAAGGGAAACTGGGCCGAAACAAACTAATTGTGTGTGGAAAAAATAGGGAAAAAGTAGGCCGTCCTCAGCTTCAGCCTGATACAAACAAACGCCACCGGCTAAGTGCCCAGTCAGCAAAACCAGGAAGAAAGTCTGGAGAAGTGTTATTTACAAACTGTCTGCGGAGTTTTCTTCCAGCTGACTGAAGTCCAAATTCCAGCCATTTTGTGTTGAAGCCGAGGAGTGATCTCAGATACAAATCTGTGTCCCTTTTTTCCTTTTTCTCCTCTCCAAATCGCGTCCCGGACGAGTCAAAGTTTAGTGTTTCTGGCTGTAATTTTCAGTTTTGGGAGCTGTTTTCGGTCGGGAAGAAGCGCCTCCGGACCCCCAAAAGCTCCGAGGCTTTCAGCCAAAGTCTCACACAGTTTGTGGAGGAAATTGCTAAAGAAAATGAGTGATACAAACGAGGGAAACGGAAGCGAAAAGTCTCATTATCATCGCTACCAGACGCTATCTGTCTGCGTACAGGCTAACCGTGGCTTAAGCTAGCAAGTGGATATAAACACGGCTACTTTGTGGAAAATCCGCGGGAAACCCGGCGTAAAACCGCAAAACGCACACTTTATAATCTTAATATGTTCCTTTAAAATAACCAAAGACGGTCGCGGAGTCTCCTCTGGCTTCGTGGACGGCGTCTTGTCCTTTTAATTAATCCATGTACCTGCCGTTTTCCCACTTCTCGGCTATAACACCGCTTCCGGAAGTGCCAGCTGACCGGAAGTGACGTAGGAAGTTTCCATTAGACAATTAAGGGAAACCGGTTATCAGCGCGTGGGACTGCGCAGCTCAGGATGACGTGGTTGAACTTAGTTGTTCATTTGCACCTTTAACAGAAGACACGACTAGATAAACGTCGTTTCCCGTAAACTTTCCTGACGAGTCATCATTAATTTTAAAGTGAAGAATGACAATTCCTTTTGTATCACGACTTCTTTGTCTTCAGTAAAAGATAACATGTCTGATTTAGCCTCCATATTCTGTAACTGACCTCACATACAGCAGAATTTCACCATCCTTTCCCAGCAAAATGCCATCCTGCTTAGAAAAAGTTCAAATAGGAGTAATTAAAACTCTTCAAAAAGTATTAATTGTTAAAGTACTCCAGTGTTTATCATTGGTCTGAAAAACTAAAATCAGAATGAGTTGCCATTATTTCTCTAAGTAATTATAAGATATAACAGTTTCTGTCATTTGACTCATTGATAGTTTTGAACTTCTGCTTAATTTAATGGTAAAAACGTTGCTCAAAATCCTATTGTACACAATTAGATACACCTGATAACAGGGGGCAGAAGACTACAAAAAAAATAATCTTGACTTATCGCATAGTAATAAATTATCAATATAAAAAATTTATTTGTTTTTTTTTTTTACATATTTTGTTAAAAGGCCAAATGAAGACTTCAAACCAAAAAAAAAGTAATTTTCTGTTTTGTTTTATTCTTGGATCAGGCTTTAAAGGGTTAAATCCTGTGAACGGTTTAAACCTGCAGGTTTCAGAGGTTTCCTGCTTCTACACACCCGGTTCAGATAAAATGTTATAAATGTTATAAAGATATAAAGATTGTTAAACTCTACACAGGATGCTGATGTTGTGTTGTTGGGAATCAGGTGTATGGAAACAGGGTGGCTTTAATGCCATTATTTCATCTGTGCTGACTTCAGCACAACTAAGTTACTGGATTCTACTCAATGCCTACATTCACTTGAGGTTCATCCAAACACACTTTAACATCTGCATCCACAATCCTTTGGTCATGTTTTATTATTCATGAATACATTAATGCTCTTTATGGATTCAGGAATAACTCTGGGGAGTAGTTTGGATATCAGTTGGAGTTTAAGTAAGCTGAGTCAATATTCAGGTATCAGATTTAAGTCTTGCTGCAGTTTTTTCTTATGATCTGAATCCTCTTATGCGTCATTAATTTAGTTTTGTCATTAAAGATGGCAGAGGCTCTCTATGGATGAGCACCAGGCACACACTGAAGCACATTATGTGCTATTATACAGAGCTTTTTTTTGTAGCTACAGTGTTTTGCTGAGTCTGAGAACAAAATGCCACAATGATGCGTACAAAAGAAGTGGGGTACCGGAATAAAGAAGCAACTCCCAGTCCCACTCTGTATCAAACACAAGTCGCTCTGTTCGAGAGCAGCCACTTTACTCTCCGGTCCAAAGAAAGAAAGCAAAATACGAGTGTAATTTAAAATAAACTTTGCGATTTTATTGTTTTATACTTACTCTTACACGTCATACAACCCTAACTTTGAAAAGAAAAAACTAAATGAAAAGATCTTGGTGGTGTTTCTGGGGGACTGGAGTGCCGAGGGGACAGGAGCTACATCTCTGAACAGAGTAGGTTTCACCCGTGTCCCTACAGCTCGTATCGAGACACAAAAACGAACAAAGCTCTCCTTTGCTTCTGCAGTGAGACTGAAAATAAAAAACCACAGACTTGTAACGATCAGCTTTATCACTGCGACCAAAACTCTGGCTGAATGATAAAAGACATGATGAAGGGGTTGCTGTGCTAAAGAGACAGAACTGAGGACAGCTAGAGACAATCGATACGACAGAAGAGAGAGAGAGCACTGATCCAATCTAGATTCATTTTTTAAGGTTTGGTAACCCTGGTTGCTGGTGCAAATCCCCACGGTGGAAGCAGTCCGGTGGTCCGACTGTCCCTGGTCAGGAGAAAGATGTCTGGGCATCGTCAACATCAGTCGAGGATAATTGGATGGGTGACATTACAGAGTATTGTGGATAGTGGTCGTTTACATTCAAACCGCTCATATCCCAAAAAAAGAAAAGAGAAGAAAAAAGAAAAAAACAGCTTGGAAGTGTCGGGGCACTGATATGAGCATCGATAGAAAAAAAAAACAAGTGGAAATCATCAAAATCCCAGGACTGAACAATCATCTGATGAGCGATTCCTTCTGGATTAATGACAGGACCCGTTGTTTGGAGGGCAAAAATAAAACTAAAGAGTGTTTTGCTGTGGCCCAGGACCCCCCCCAGGCTGAGAAGGGACTAAATATGACGGTTATTACCAACCGAACACCACCGGAATTTAAATTCTTCTCCAGATGTGAGGGAGGAAACGACTCCATCTATCCCTCCA